CTAATACGCCTTCCTCCCACCCAAATTGCTCTTCTCGTTCGTACTGATATGCCACACTACATAGTTCGGCAGCCCAACAACCTGATAGCCCGCCCTATTCGCCATTTTCCCAAATCCTTCCGTCTCCGCCTGGTTCTCGAACGCGTAGCAGGGGAAATTGATGCCTGCGCGGTGCACGTCTGCCTTGACGATAATGTTGACGCCGCCGATGCCGTCGAGGTGGACTTCTTCGTCCTTGTTCTTGCGCCAGTCGCCCATCGAGACAAGGTACTTGCGTTTTGTGTCGAATTCCTTGTAGCCCTCGACGAGGACGGTGTCCTTGGGTAGGGAGGCGGCGAGCTTGAGGCCGGTTTCGGATTCTTGCCAGGAGTTGTAGTCGACTGTGCACAAGTTAGTAAAGTAAATCAGGACAATGCGAATCCTTCTCGTAGGTAGGTTATTGGGACATACATCTCCCCTCAATATCCCTGCCATCCTCATACTGATGATACCAGATATTCGGCACGAGCACATCCTTATCATGCGCCACAAAGTCCTCGATGATCTTCTCCGGCGAATCCACAATGTCCACGTCCCGCCAATACACCCAGCTATGCTCGGGCTTCAACGCAGAATACAGCAGGAAATTCCTCGCTTTGCCAATCGCTTTCCGCCGCGGCGCCTGCGCCTCGAACCCATGCCGCGACTCGACCGCCATGTCCAGCGTCTCGCCAAAGTCCTTCTTCACAACCACCGCGTTATGGAATGCGCGGTCCGGCATGCTCTGCACGCGCTCGAGCTCCTTGGACAGAATGCCCAGTGTATCGTCGCTGGAATCAGAGACCAAGAAGCCAAGGTCGATGAGGTGGTGCGGGTAGGTGAGTTGCGAGATGAGGTCGAAGTACTTCTCGAGGTATGGCGCGGCATCGCGCAGAGGGGTGAGGATGAGCACGCGCTCTTCGTTCTGGACGGCTTTTGGGGTGGACGTTATGGCGTTGAGGTCCTTGACTTCGATGGAGGAGGTGTTAATGTTGATGGGTGTGTGAGGGTTATTGAAGACGACGGGCGTCTGGAGTTTCGTCTGCCATTCCGACAGCTCGTTGGGGTTCATTTTCGACGGTGGTTTCGGGGGGCCGTAGCAGAAGAACCTGCGAAGCAAATCATTAGCATTCGCTGTTTTATGTCGCACGACAAGTCAAAACTTCTCCCAGAAAGGTATATAGGCATTCACATACTTCTGCATCTCCTCGGCCTCCCTGCCCATGCCCTTCACGACGAACAGCAGACACACCGTCAAGACAGCAGCCACGAGCACGCGCGGCCTCGAGGCCAGGGCAAAGGTAGCGCGCAGGCCAGGCCATGCCTTCTTTGCGGCGGAGGCGACGCCTGCTTTCGAAGGGAAGGCCTTCATCTGTATATTTTCTGGAAAGTTTTGACTGATATGCCGGGCGAGCTGCAGCTTGCTTGGTTCAGGATGGAGAAAAGGAGCGTGGTGGGGAAGAGATCAGGCCAGCTCTGACTTGACTGCACAGAGGTTGAGAGGGATGAATTGGTGAGGTGTGGTTGTATGTGTCCGTATGTATGTACACGATGACGACGATGACGACGACGGCGGCGGAGGATGAAGCGAGGTGAGCTGGTCGACGATACCCCGGCTGCACAAGCACAAACACAAGCACAAGCACAGGAACTGCAGCAGAAGGAAAGAAAAGAAGAAAAGAAGCGGCAAGGAAAATGCTTGTCTTGTCTTGTCTCTGTCTCTGCCGTAAGCTGTATGCAATATGTCTCACCTCTTGAAAAAGTTCACAGTGAGATTGAGATTGAGATGAAGAAGAAACTCGATGATCGATGAACCAGGGACACGGACACGGACACGGACACGGACTCGCTCTCACCTCTCTCTCTCTTCCCCCAGGCTCGAATTGCATACGGTACGGCACTGGGGTAGGCGGGCGGGCGGGCCAGGGGAATCATCGATTGTAGCCACCGACGAATACTCCGCTACGCTTCTACAGACAGACGCAGGCATGGATGGACATGACTGATGATCTGAGAGGGAGGTTTCTACTCAAGAATGAGATGAGATGTATGATCGGGCCATTCGCGACTTTTCCAGTCTACAGCTGTATGGACGAGGCAGATGAAGAACAATTACCTTGATAACCCCCCATCCCCCTGGCTAAATCTCGACCTCCTCGAACAGGACTCGTCTGCCTTGCACTTTCTAACTGTGGTGTCGTTACCAGAAAGATTTCCACTCTATCGCGATACACACCTCACCCCCACACCGCAAAGAATTCCCACTATCACGATTTTACTTTATTTTCCTTCATATATCGCTTTAACCCGCCCGCACAGATGTAGATAGGTCTTGTGGTCTAGTGGTATGATTCTCGCTTAGGGTTCACCCTGAGTTCCAATATTAAAATATGCGAGAGGCCCCGCGTTCGAGTCGCGGCAAGACCCGTTTAACTTTTTCTTTTTCTGTAAAACACATCTCCTGTCCAGTGCTATTTCTGGCAAGAAGTGCTATTTCTGGCAAGAATTGAGGAGCTGGATTCAGGATATGGGATATGGGATATGGGATGGTGGCCGACCTTCATATCTCCTCTGAAATGCCGTTGGCGAATCCCCACTCTATCTAGCGCGACCAGGGAACGAACAAACGGGTTAAAACAATAAAATACGGAGTATGCAAGGAAAGAAGTGCTAGCATTGACCATCTCTCTCTCTCTCTCTTTTTTTTTCTCTCGAGAAGGGGGAGGATATAGCTATGTAGCAAGGGTGAAGATTCCGTCTGTACAGTTTAATTGTGGCCTGGCCTGGTCTGCCGGCAAAGCAGACCGCGAGACCGATATAGTCAAGAGACGAGACCAGACGAGGTTATAGGTTATAGGTTATAGGCAGCAGCGGAATACGTCTGAATTTCTTCTCAAAGAATCAAATCAAGTCAAGTCAAGAGAATAGAAACGATGGATGTCCCTTACAAGAAAGTTAGGATACACACAGACAAGACAAGACAAAGACAGGTCAGACAGGTCAGACAGGTTTAACATATATTGGTGTCAAGTATTCGCGAGGAAACGGGTTGGAAGGGTAGGGTAGGGCAGGGGGTGGCATTAATATATAAGAGAAAGAGACAAGACAAAAACAGAGTACAAGACCAGGTAGGGTAATAAAACAGAAGTAATCAGATCAAAGGTTTCAATCTCGAACAAACGCAACGCAACGCAACGCAACAAACAAATTCATCCTCATATCAAACAACAAGGACCAGGACACAGTCACACACGTCTTACAAAACCATAACACCAACAAGCGCAGCAACGAGACCCAATGAGGCGGCATTCTTACCGGCAGCGGCACTGCTCGTCTCGGTAGGCGACGAGCTGCTCGACGTCTTGGACGCGCCGTCGCTGCCCTTGGAGGTCTTGGGGTCGGAGATCTTCTCCTTGCAGGTGAACTGGCCCTCGACGTTATCCTTGATGTCCTTCTCGATCTTGGTGCAGCCGACGTCGTTGGTGGCTTGCAGGTTGAAGTCGCCGGAGACTTCCTTGAGTTTGGGGAGGTCGACCCTGCAGCAACAGAATTAGCGGTGAACAGAAAAAAAAAAGAAAGAAAGAAAAGAGTGAGGGGGTGCATACTTGGTGAAGTTGCCGGCAAAGTCAATAGCGTTCACGGACTCCAAAGCAGAAACACCGGTGACGGAGCGGAGGTGCGTGTTGTTCGCGACCTGGTAGACGCCGTCGACCTTGGTGAGTTTCGGGAGGGACATGTTCATGAGGTTGGGGTTGGAGGTGAAGACCAAGTCGCCGGTGGAGGTGAGGTTGGGCGCGGACAGGCTGGTGAAGGAGTTGGAGTAGAAGCCGAGGAGGCCATCAGTCTTCTTGAGCGAGGGGAGCTCGACCTTGGACAAGTTGCGGAAGGTCATGTTCTGGGCGGACTTGAGGTTGGGGAAGATGATCTCGAGCTTCTTGTTGTTGGCAGAGAAGGCAGCGAGGCCGGTGATGTTCTTGATCTCGTTGACGTTGATCTCGGAGAGCTTGTTGTTGTTGTTCACATCAATGGACCCCACAGTCTCGAGCGAGATGCCAGAGAGCGAGGTGAGGCCGGTGTTGGTGATGGTCAGCTTGCCAGCGGACTTGACGCCCTTGTTGAAGCCCAAAGTCTGCAAGGCAGGCAGAGCCTCGAAGTCAATAGAGCCGACCTTCTCGAGAGCGCTGAGCTCGAGGTTGGTCATCTGGGTGAGCGAGGAGAGGGTGAAGGAGTCGCCGATCTCGGTGAGGTCGTTGGCGGTGAAGGAGGAGTTTGATGGTGTGGAGGAGGTTGAGGAGGAGCAGTTGGAGCAGCCTCCTAAGAAGAAGTCGAAGAAGACG